ACTAAATCTAAAATCGCCCGGAGAGAATAAATTGCTTCATAATAAAGTGAAGTGTGTTTAGCATGGGGTGAGTTATGATCAGAAAAATCCTAAAATGTCATCAGTAAAATAAGTCACTTTTCGGAAAATATTGATTCTTATATTTATTCAGTACTGATTCTTATATTTATTCAGTACTTCACTATACATAAGAGTATATACAACATAGAATAAACATTTATTAGTTCAAAATTGCATCTCTCTAATCTAAACTTCATATATTTAAACTCATTAAAAACTTAAAACCCATGATTTTAAGAGAAAAAGATAAAAGAGTGTTGTAAAACTTCAGAACAAAAAGAAGAAGAGAAAGAAGAATATAAGACAATAGAGGAATAATATAATCTTTCTTTCTTTCGAGTGTATTAATATTATTCTTAACACCACTATATATAGAATTATATTGATAAATATTAAAGGGTGTCGTCATAAACATTATATTAAATCTTGAGAATTACTACCCATTTTGAAGGAAATAAAGTTAGGAGTTGTGCTCATCCATTTGACCACATTATCAACAACATTACTACCAATAAAGGATGAAATTAACCTAGGAGTTATGGTCATCCATTTGATCACATTATCAACAACATTACTGTTCTTTACCTAAGAGTTATGATCATCTATTTAACCACTAAATTTACGACAAAAATAACTCATGAGGCGTATAATATATACATAATAGTGGCTTGAAGAGCCATGCTAGAGGTGACGAAAGGGGAAGTGGATATTATATAGGGAGGAACTTAAAATAGAGGTACACCATACACGAACACAAAATGTGTCAACTTGCTCCCTATTTTATTCCTTATTATATAATACTAATCATATTATTAATCAATATTATCTTAATTAATGAATGTATGGTCACTAATTACTATATTAGCGAACTTCAAATTAAAGATTTTGAGTGCATCAATATCAATATTATCTTAATTTAGACATGCTCATTAATGGCTCAAATATACTCTAAGCTTTATGTTCCCTATTATCTTCCATAAAATTTATATAGTATACTATATCAATATTAGAGGTAAATTCAGAATTTTATAATTTTTTGTCATAATTTACGTAATACACTAGTATTAATTGGAAACTCAAAAATCTAAAGATTGTGGTGTATCAATATCGATATCATCTTAATTTGGTATAGATATTAATAGCTCAGACTCTTATCAGCTAAATTTAAAATAATAATTATTTTTAAAAAAAAAGTGAAATAGGACTCTAACTGAATTCAAACCTGATTCACAGATATATCCTTGCTTTTACCAGCGACAATACTTTCTACCTGTTTTCCAAAATCAATGTTTTAAAAGGTGGGCATGTGAGGCGAGACGTTTCATATAGTCCGAGGTTAGATATAAGTCTCGCGGCACGGGACGTAAGTTTCATGAATTTATCGGGCGTAATCTCATGTATATTCAATTTTATATTTTTGTTATTAATAAAATAAGCAAAAATAAACTTTTCAATGATTTATGATTTTTATTTGAGATAAGTATTAATAATCGATGATGAAGGAAAAAGTAAATATTATTATTTGAGAAATATCATTACATCAACAATGAAAATATTATTTAAAGTAAAAAAACTAAAAAAAATTAATTTAAAACGTTCGAGCGTAGGTTTTTACACCCAGAACTTATATTTTTATGTTCAGGACTTGTGTCTTATGATCTACGTTTTTAATTTACACTCTAAAACATTTTTAATACACTCCACCTCAAGACTCGCTTTAAAAATATTTTTAAAAATATTGTTCAAAATAATTAATTATATACAATATATTACACATAATATTTTTCAAACTTAACGATCAAATCACATGAATCTGCAATGGGACCCAAATTAAAAGAGAACCGAATGGTAACCTCAGCATCCTGATTCCAGCTCATTTCTTCGTCTTGCTGGCCCTCTTCCCGCCACATTTTCAGCTTCTCACCAATTTATCCTCAATAATATCATACATTATTTATTTATTTATATATAAATGTTTTATCACAATTTTTGTTCTTTCTTTTTCAAGAATGTTATGTAACGCTTTCTCCTACCATTTGTTATGTTTTTTTTTTTAATATGATTATCTAAGTTGAGTTTTTCCCAAAAATAGTTTATCTATTTTCAAAAGATAATGATTAGATGTATGTATCAACCAATTCTGAATCATATCTCTGGAGTTATTATTATTATTTATTAACAAAAGAAATAAAACTGATTTTTCCTTTTTAAAGGGAATCTGGATAGATTATTCGAATCTTGGAGAATTTGTTTTCAAAAAATGGGGAATTTATACATGCAACTGGTAGTACAACAGTCAAAATTATTTATATAATAATAATAATATGTTGTTACAAAAATATTTCCATTGTGGATAATAATTCCTGCGAGTTGTAGTCTTCACCTAAATTTACAATTATTTCCGAAACTACATTTAAATAAGGTTCCTAATTTGTATGTCCTAAAACACGGACAGTGCCCATGGGAACAATTTTTCCGCTCAATTTTAATTATCATGAATTTTTAAAAGTTAAGTTATAAAAATTTTGAGTAATATTTTATAATATATATTTTTTCATATTGATATTCAAAAAATTATAAAATTATAATGCTTTTCATATAATATTTAAATATTTATTATTTTTTAAAAAAAATTAACATAATTATAAAAGCTAATCAAAATTGATTTTTATAAAATAAAATATGATAATTAAAACTGAACGAATGACTGGGCACATAATATACTTATTTTCTAATTGGTTCAGAGTCTGTGTGGCTATGTGGATTCCCAAAAATCAATAATTTGTTAGGTGAGATTTTTTACAAAATTATATTTATTTAGTCTCTCAAAAGGACGGACATTATTTGCAATCGTCACTCCCAGCTGTAATCGATGTTTCATTTTTTTAAAAAATAATTTCCCATACACCTAAATAATAATATGGAAAGAGACTATTCAAATTTTTTTTCTTTTCTTATTTCATAATGTTGCAAAAAGATTATCCATGGAAAACCTAAAACAATATTAGTATTGTACTCTTCATGTAAAATGAAAAGTTTTATGAAATGCTAATATAGAAAAATAATTTTAGGAAAAAAATTTATTGTTAATAAAGAGATAATTATAACATAAAATGTTATGATAAAAATTGTTGTGAAGGAGAGGTCATCCTTTTTTTAAGATAATATTTAATAGAAATTTGTATGGCAGGAATTGTTGCAGACAAATAAACTGAAAATATTGGGCTAATAAATTATTAAACAAGTTCCAAGTCTCGATGCCGTTACCCTGCCACAAAATTATAGACATCCTTCTCTTTAGCCATATCTATACTGTGCGGACGTCCATAATAGTTCTTTTTATTTTCTCATTTTATCTTCACACTATATGTAAAACATTTATTTATTTATTCTACATATTAAAAGTAAACAGAATATCTATACTAAAAGTTTAATGACGTAATATATATGAAATGAATATAAAAATAAGATATGCAGTGGCAGAGTTCATAGTTTTATTTAGAGTGTCTAAAAATAATAGTACATGAATATCAAAAGAAAACAAAAAAATATAGTGTAATTTGAGATTCAAATTAAAAACTTTTTTATTCAGGTAAACATTCATTATCATTGCGTCAAAGATATAGTGCTTATTAAGGACACTTTTAAATATATATCATTCAAATAGATAATTTGATATATATATATAATGTAATTTTTTAATATAGAGTGTCTAATTCGACAGCGAGGGTGGCTATAGCTCTGCCCTGTTGATATGCATGTCATTTTAAAAAAAGAAAGTTTGAAGTATTTTGTGTTTATTAATTTAAAAAAAAAAAAATTGACCATGATGTCACTTGCTGTATTAGTGCAGGCAAAATAAGTGAAAGATAGTATATATATGGCTTCTTGTGTGGTAAGAAGGCGCCGTTAAAATTTAATAATTATATTTTAAAGAGTGATAGTTAGATTAACTATATTTTACAAGTTATAATATTGACTACTATAAAAAATTGCGTTCAAGAGTTAAAAATTGCAAAAATAAGAATATTGTTGTGATGAATGTGCGTCGTAACTAGGAGATATAGAATTAAAAATGAATCATATTTGAGTTGGTGAAGAAAAAAATATGTAAAGTAAAATTGAAATGATTCAGACACGTATAGAAAAAATGTCCAATGTTCTAATATAAATGTGTGAGAAACTGACTATAGATGCTTACAAAAGACGTAAAATTAGACTATTTTTCTTTAAATATGAGTCAAATACATAAACAGATTCCTAAATTTGTTTGAGTTTTTCTTTTGAGGTATCTCAACTATGACATTTTCCTATTGAATCATTGAACAACCCATAATTTGTTCCTTTTAAACAAAAACCGTTGGCTGATGTGGAATCAGATTTTTGAGAGTTATTGATAGATGATACATATTTGTTCCAAAACTCATTAATCCAATTGATAGTGAAAATGTTCTAGAGTAATTATATTTAACTTCAAGTCATTTCAACACATTAGAAAACAAATGAGATTAACATAGTTTGTTTTCTTTCTTTAATAAAAAAACATTACAATACGAACACAATCAAAGACATTTACAATAGAAAAGTCTATCAAAATCAGTTAATGATATTTAAAAGGAACAAATTATGAATCGTTCAATGATTCAATAGAAAAATAACGTAGTTGAAACACCTTAGAAGAAAAACTCAACAAGTTAAGTGATTTGTTTATGAATTCGACTAGAAATATAGACGAAGTTTATTTGCTATCATATCCTCTTCAAATTGATAATTTATATATGCGTATATGAAAAATAGACTAGGTCATGAAACACATGGAAACTATGGGAATTTGAAGTAGGAGTTATGAGGATAAAAAATATGTGGTTTAGTAAGGATAATTATCGTCATTAAAAAAATGTCACATCCCTTTATTTATACCAAGTTAGTATACGTGAAAAGATTTCATCATAAAAAATATTCTCATCTTGAATTACATACTCTATTCTTTTAGTGGGAAAAGAAATAAATCTCAAAACCCCTTTATATATATCCAAAATCTTCGAAGCTAAAGGCATATGATGACGAGCTTTTGCAGCAGAAAAGTCCACCCTTTCTTGTGTTTATCAAATTCCAAACACAACGGAACACTACTAGACTTTTCCCTCCCCCGCCTAGATATTTTTGCCGGCGCTTCAATCGGCGGCGATAACTGTGACCCTCAAAACACAACCAGTTACTCCATGATCCCGCTAGCCGCCGCAGAGAAAAAGGATCCCGGCGGAATTGGGTTCATAGACGAAGTTGGAGGGAGTGTTGATGGATTAATGTCTTGTACAGAGAGTCTCGGTTTCGAGAGTTGTGATGAGAGGACAATAGATGATCAAATTGAGGATCTAGGTTATCGTGATGAATTAGCTTTGTATTCTAGGCAATCAAGTTGTAGCCATAGTAATACTTCAAGGTGCTGGCAAAGAAGTAATTTGGGGGAGAAGAAAGAGAAGAAGGAGTTTCCACCACCATTGTCGTCGTTAAGTCAAGATGGCAAACCCAATTTCTTCATGCGTGCGGTGAGGAAAGATGGACGGTTAGAATTGACAGAGGTGAAAATTGATCGACCCGAAACCCTCCGTGCTTCCCGCCAAGATGGACGGTTGAGATTGCATCTAATTCGCGATCTCGAAGAAGAAGCAGAGGAGGAAAACGAAGATGAAACAGAGGATGAAGATGAAGAAGTAATTGAAACAGATGACGAAATAATTGAAGAAGAAGAGTGGAAGTTCCCGGTGTCAGGAAGTGGAATCGGAGATGGTCATCGGAGATGTTACGACGGTCATGGTAATAACCACCACCACGATTTACATTTGTGGAGGCAACGGTGTGTGACAACTAGGTGAATTTTCATTGAAGTAGGGACAAAGCCATCTGAATCTGTTTCTCGTTCAACTACATACTCTGCCATTTGAAAGGGAATCCCAAAAAAAGAGTGGAAGATGATGACGACCCAATGAAGTTGGAATTAAGAATCTGCCGGCGGCCGCCACTGAAAAAGCATTGGGATTCTGTTTTGCATCAGAGAAGAATCAGTTACCTAAATTTCCGAAAAGACGTACAGTACAGTACAGTACAGTCCCTACATAGTATAGAGAAATTTTTTATCTTTTTCTCTAAATTTTGCAGCATTTAGCCATACTATCTTATGTAAGATCAATTGAAAATTAAATTATATTTAATTATATAATAAGATAAACGAATTATAATTCAGTACTATCTAATGAAGAGATTGTTTCATAGGTTCTGGCGGCGATGATTTTTTTAAAAAAAATTATTTACTTGATTTGCACACCTTATCAGATAAGCAAAATAATAAAATACGGCAGTGTCAATCCTTCTGAGATTAAATTTACGGAGAGAACAGAACAGTATATGATTGGTCTAAACATCACATTATAGCCACGCTTAATTATTGCGATAGAGATACATACGAGATAATATTAAGTGGTAATAAGTATATCCTAAACTTAATATCTATATAACCTATTAAATTTTTATTGGCAGCGTAAATGTATATTAAGCCTAAAAATGAACCTTGTGCTTTTTTTAAAAAAAAATAAAAAATCGACGGTTGTGCTTTTTATCAAGGCACAATAATGTGTGATAGAATCTACATAAAATCTTGCTTTACGTAGGAAAAAGACTTGGCAAAATAGATGTCGAAGAAGTAAATATATATATATTCATACGATTTGTGGTAGATGAAAGATTGGACAGATGTATAATTGCAGTTGAAGTTGGGAAATTATGAGAGCAATTGTGGACAAGTGTGTGGGGACTGAGAAAAATACATCTCCAAAAGTAAATGAAAAGGACGTAATGTAAGCTCATGGAAATGAGACTGAATAATTACACTTTCAATCGTGATAAGAAGAATAAATATCAAAGCAGATTCATTGAAATTTCCTTTGCCATTTTGTACCAAGAATATACACCTACGATGTTTTCATCCAAGGAAAAGACACTTATTACTTCATTCGTTTATTTGAAATATCGTTTTTTTTTAGTTCATTTCATATTTAAAAATTAAAAATTGAATAAGCTATCTTGGGGAATATGAATCCCCCATGATGATCTATCCAATGTATCAAATGCAAGCACACACGGGAACTTCAATTTGAAGTTGATGCATGGTAGCTAATACATTTTGTGTTGTTGTGCCATTTCAGTCTCGAAATTTATTTTGTTGTTCAACAAGAACAGATTCAAGCACATGTCTGCTATCCATTTTGTAATACCTTACAACTCTATTTTAACAATCTGAATCGCTCGATGTACTTATGAGCTTGAAACGGGTGATGTCCTATCTGCTCACGTGTTTTAAGGTCCTTTATCAAGTATATGGAAAGTGATTTATAATCATAAGGGATCTCTAACACCAAATCAAGTTCAAAATATTTCTATCATCCAAGTGTGACACCCCAACTTTAGAAGTTGTATACCAGTAAAAATATTAGGTATATAGTAAGGAAAAATTATATGAAATGACAAACATTTCTATGTAATTATTTAATAAGGGTATAGTTTAATCTATTTACTATCACTAAACATAGTTTCAGTTGTTTTGTCATGATTAATGGTACCCACTATCTATTTGTATATGAAATAAAAATAGTCAGAATTTGTATATAATTTTAATCAAAATCAAATTTATTTCTCAGATTCTCATTCCATATCTTTCTTCTAAAATCACTCTTCCATTCCAATTTTGAATTTCGAATTGAAATTTTTTTGATCTTATCCCTCCAATTGTACTTCCACTTTTTGCGAGTAGCTGCCAAATTCGTGGATTTCAATTTTTTTTTTCTCTTTGATTCCTTCTTCAACAATTGTATAGTATGCTTGTTAGTTTTTTCATATTTTTTAAAATTTTTTTATTACTTATCATATACAAGTCTTTCAAAATCAAAATGGATGATTCCTTTCCATCTATGAGAATTACGAGAGGCATGTCATTGCATGCCAATGTTGCTGATAATCCACCTTCGTTTCAATTGGATAAACTCATAATTTTGAGGTTAATGTAGCGTTTATGACGAAATATAAACAAGTTCAAATTGAACAATCTATTGAAGAATTGTGATCCAAGAAAATTAAAATAACCCAATGTCAATTCAGAAAGTCATCAACAATAGAAAACCAACGGCATTAAGATCATTGAAGGTGAAAGTAATAGAAAAGTCATAAACATTGATTCAGAGGAGATTGAATCTGCCTCATCAGAACTGGACAAATATGAAGATCATCAGGAACATCAAGTAGTGTAATTTATATACAAATTACTAAAGTTATGTATATAGTTGGCTGTATATTAAAATAATATATACAAAATATTATGAGATAATTGTTATTTATATATTCTATTAGTTGTATATCAATTACTAAAGTTATGTATATAGTAGTTTATATATTAAGGTAACATATACAAAGTCTTATGAGACAATATGTATTTGTATACAAATAAATCAATTACAAAAAGTTAGAGCACTATACAAATTCGTCGATATATACAAAAAAAAAACATGAACATAATAAAATATTGTGTATATAAACATTACACACTCAAATATACAAATAAATTTCAAGTTTACACATATACAATTGACAAATGAATATCATACAATCAATTTAATTATTAATTTTTGTAAAGAACACGAAATTACATATGCACATATACAAATATGATACACATACACAAAATTATTATACATTATATAAATTCCTAGATATATACAAAAAAAAAAAAGAAGGAATAGAATAGAATAGAATATTTTATACAAACAGACTACACAAAAAATTAAAAACAAATACATATTATGATGGTCACATATACAGTTAGTAACACATAATCAATTAAACACAAATATTATATATAAAATTATATACAATTTCTCAAATATATATAATAAATGGAGAAGGATCTAAAATATCCTTCAAGTACATGGAGTGATAAAAATATCTTTCATCCACCTTTGAGCTCAAAAATATCCTTCAAGTACAGGGAATGATAAAAATATATTTCATCCACCTTTGAGCTCAAAAATATTCTTCCTTCCACCTATAAACCTATATTACCCTTTCACTTAACGGACTTTATGAATAATAATTAATCTTTTTCATTAATGATGTAACAATATTTAATTAGCTGGAATTTAAACTAAACAAAAATAATAATTTATCCAAATTAAACCCTGATCTATCTAATTTTTATCCGACCCACTTAAAATCTTATCCACCCATATCTTTAAAAAACAAGGAGAACCGAGTGTATAGCACCCATTGCCTTTTATAATAAAAACTGTTATTTAAATAATAATTAATCTTTTTCATTAATGATGTAACAATATTTAATTAGCTGGAATTTAAACTAAACAAAAATAATAATTTATCCAAATTAAACCCTGATCTATCTAATTTTTATCCGACCCACTTAAAATCTTATCCACCCATATCTTTAAAAAACAAGGAGAACCGAGTGTATAGCACCCATTGCCTTTTATAATAAAAACTGTTATTTATCCATCATACTTAATTATTTATTTAAATATATTAACTAAGCACCCATTACATATATAAATTTTCAAACTAAAATAATTGAACACCCATTATATAAATTTTTTTTGAATCCACCACTAATTACTCTTTTCAACTTTTTTTTAAAATTCACAATTAAGATTTCCATAATGAAAATATTGAATATAAAACGTGATTTTTTTCTTCTTAGATCGAATTAGAATGAAATAGATTCTATAAGTTCATCAAGAAAAATCAAATCAAATCACATGAATAAGCGTTTCGCCATAATAGCTTTGGTATGTATTATTGCCGTTCATTATAATAAACATATTCATATAAATAAATTATTATATGTACGCCATGTTATTTTGTTAAAAAGACCTGTGTGTTTAATGTTAGAATATAACTAAATTAATCACAATATAGTATTTTTAAAGTTAAATTTATTTTGGTACAAATTTTTGGAATTATAATGGCTATTGATGGAGATGGAAGGAGTAATTTTTGAATGACATATCTTTGAATAAGAAATGCGAAAGAAATATTCGACCCTAAATAAAGAGTAAGAAAAAAAAGTACAGATTACTTCTACGTGCTATTAAACTTTCAAAAAGGTTTATTTACGTTATCAGTTAAAAGTTTGGGTCATTTATGTTATTACTGTTCAAGAAAAGACTCATTCATGTCATTATTTTTTAATAGTAATTTTGTAACACCATTTTTGACGCGTGATCAATTATAATTCGTCCACGTCATCGATTTTTTTAATTAAAAAATAAAAAAAAATTACAATTATTATTCAGAATTTTGAGTTTTTTATTTAAAAAAATTGATGATGTGGCCAAATTATAATTGACCACGTGTCAAAAATAATTTTTATAAAACCGCCGTTAAAAATAATGGCATAAATAAACTTTTTCTTTAAAGATAATACATAAAATGAGTCAAACTTTTTCTTTAAAGATAATACATAAAATGAGTCAAACTTTTAACTGATCACATAAATAAGTCTTTTTTTAAAGTTTAATGGCATATTCAATTTTTTTTCACTTTAAAAAATATCACTAATAAGAATATGATCTATAAACAAAGTCGATTAGTCATGGCTGTCTTTGAATGATTCTTTATATAAAGGGAAATAAAGAAACTTATAATGATTCTTTATATAGCACCATTGTTGTAATAAGTTTCTTTTTTTTTTCTTTATAATTCACAAAAGTAAAAAATTAAATATAGTTTTCTTAATGAAAATAAGCTCTTATTGCTAGTTTTAAATTAAATTAAAAATGACATTTTTAAATGTGTAAAATTAAAATTCCAGATTGTTCATCAACAAAATTAAAAATAAAATTTATGAAAGACTACAAGACTATACAATTGAAAATTAACCCTCAATATTGATGTCTTTCACTTACTGTTTTTGAGAACTATAGATACCCATTGTTGACAAATTAAAAATTGAAGATTCAACTTGAAATATGATTAACATTATAATAACTTCACATTTTATATTTTGTTTTGACTTTGACATAATTCGTGTTTCTTAAACTATATATACTTTTACTTTAATTTTTTTTTTACGAAATGTTCCAATTGAGCAAATCTTATCCTCTTTTAATTTCTTCAGTCTTTACTTATTTGTCTTTTCCTAATTTATTTTTAATAAATTAAAAATGATATATTTTTTAATTTATTATATT